GGATTTTATGAAGGATTGTGGATTGTAAGGATTGGATACGAGAGGAATTCGATGGTTTAGTGGAGCCCCATAGCTCAACTCCGTAAGTCCAAATAGGCCTTATTATAGTCATGTATATGAGTCTTTTGTAATTAATTGGAAGTTTAGAGCGTTTGTCTAGTAAGTGCTGAAGTAATCGGAAACGTCGAGCTGTTTCTTGTCGTTTCTTAAAAACTCGACTCATATTTTTATATTCCAGCTTAAATTAGTTTAGTTCTAACTGAAGAAAAGTATTGGTCTCATTAACTCCGAAAAAACAAAAAGTTGAACTTGTTCTATGGATATTTTTTATATCTATTTTACGAGTGAAAACATACCTATTAAGTATATATCACTAATTTTAGTGCAAAGATCTTATGTAAAAGTTTTCAATTCACATTCTACTATGAAAAATACCAAATAATAAAATATAAAATTATACTAATAAATCATAAAGAAATAATTTTTTTTCTTGTGCTCTCCTGTAAAACACTAAATTTGTACATAAATCATTTGCACCAATTGCAGCGAGATACATATTCAGTATCCACGGGATTTTTTTTTTTTTAATTTCGAATTATCATATATAAAATCTGGAAATGCGGAACTTTTTCGCATTTTAGTATTTTCTGCTAAACAAAACTCATGGATATCAAGCCCGTATATGTTGAGATATTATCAAATTTTCGAAAACGGCTTCTTTCAGAGATTTTATTCTCATGAGAAAATTTTTAAACCTTTTAATATAGATATTTGTTAGCAAATGAAAACGGTGATGAAGTTATACTGACCTTACTTGGCAGACGTTTTTTCATTGTACATAGAGTGTGAATGTAATCTCTGAAAACTATTATAAATGTCTTTTGAGACAGATTGTAATATTTTCAAAAAACAAGTTAAAAAAAAAATTAAATAGACAAAGTTTGGCGATCACCAGATTGAAAACGCCCCAATTCCCAGAAAATTCGTAAATAAAATAATTGTAGGTTAGAATGAGATGAAGCTATTCACGAAGATTCAGGCTGATGTTGATAATTTGATTATCAACTATTATATTAATTATAAGATCGACAGCCAGTTGATCATTAGGGACTGACTTACCCCCAAGGCAGACTGCAAGTTGAATTAACTCCCACCTCGTACAATAATTATAGACAGTAACTGCCCAACTGCGACTCAAGTTAAGCAATCAATCTCAACTCGGCACAACTGCCGTCCGATTCAGTAGTTGGTTAACAGGCCACCGTATTATTGGCTTCTCTGTAACCGATACTGCCTGTCCTTTAGCACTTACTCAGTGAACTGATAAGTAGTTGTGAACATTTTAATGTACCATTCTTACTAATTAGAAATTTAAAAATACTAGTTTACAAATACGAATAATTCGCAGACAATTTTGTTTAATGAAGAAATAGAAAAATAATATGGAAATAAGATCCTAGGTATTATGTAAGGAAGGAATTAAAATATTCCATTTAATATAGTAGACTAAAATACTTGTACAAATAGCTTTGCTAGAACCTATTTTTAAACGCTGACTGAAAAGATAATAAAGGTAATGAATAAAAAAAAAACCTCTTTCACGCGATTTTCTAAATTATTAAAAAATATAAAATGTAAGAACAAACAAATGCCTTCAAGAAAAAATTAAGTTAATAAATCAGCCAAAAAAAAAGTGTAGTGGAATAATAAATGCAGTATCTTTATAAATAAAGAAATTATTATGTATACCAAAATTTATGGACTGTGTCTTTGTACATAATTGTCCGATTTTTACGAATTTTTTTTGTAGTTAATTTAGTACTTTTCCTAATAATCATGGGTACTATCCAGAAAAAAAATATCATATTTTCTGAGTTATTCGCAAATAAAGTTTCTTTTCCTTCATAACTTTTTTTCCCCATAAATTTCGGTGGGATCGGAATATTTTTCGCTTGTGGAGGAAAAGAATATCTTCAAAATGAGTGGTCAATGATTGGATTTGATGAAATTATGGCGTACCGACAAAAAAATACCCTTTAGAAATAATAGATAGCATGGTGAGCCCGCTCAAACGACTGTCCTGCCGAACGGTCAGAGAAATAAAGAGTATGATGAGCTAAACTGTGGATCAGGTACGTCCAACAGCGAAGAATATAATAATTAATCAATACATTATTTACAATGAGACAATATATTAATGAAGCAAATATTAATTAAGTAAAGATGATTATTTACCATATATATATATATATATATATATATATATATATAAACTTATTTATTGAAAAATATTACAATCTGTCTCTAGGACATTTATAATAGTGTTCACAGATCACATTCACACTCTATGTACAATAAATAAAATAAATTATACAGAAAAATAATACATATACAATAAATAAGAATAAAATAACCTAAAAATAAATAAATAAAAAGAACACATACACACCTATATTATAAATATATTAAACATAAAATATACGTTTATATCACTTAAATATATAGATACATAACAATAACAATAATAGAGCAAAAATAAAAAAACCTGTACCACTACAACCCATGAAGGGTCTTGGACTCAGTACTATTGAGGGAAAGTACTGTTTCAAGACCAGCGGTTGTATAGAGAGGAATCGGGTCAGGATCACGCTCAACCGCCAGGTTTCTCAATTATTTAATTAAGGGTGCCCACTTTGTAGAGTCTGGGTGTGCACCAGGAAGGTCTCCCTACCCCAGGGTCACCGCACGGCCAATGAAACAGAATAAATAATTTTTCTGCCATGAGCGGGGATTCGAACCTGAGCCCTTGGTTATTGGAAGCTTAGAGCCCTACCATTGAGCTATCCCACTCCATAGAGCTAAAATAAAAGGTATAAATAGTGCATTGAAATTCAAACATTTAATAATATTACATATTATGTAAATGATAAAAGGATAATTAACCATTAAATTCTCGAATTAACAGAAAACAATGGCTTAAGCAGCAAAAGAAGCCCTTCCAGGACGTGGTAAAGCATTCTCAAAGGCGTCCGAATTGGCGCTACCCTTGAAGGAGGCCATGCACCAGGATTGGCAGACACTATGGGGCAACAGCCCTCCAAATAAATTAAAGGCGATAAGAAAGGAAGTGAAGCCATGGATCAGTTCTAGTTGCAACAAACGCAGAGAGGAAGTTGTCCTTAAGCGTCTAAGAATATGTCATACCATGCTTACGCACCTTCACTTAATTACGACAGAAATCCTGCCCATTTGGCAGAAGTGTGGAGAGAGAATGACGGTGGTCCGTATCTTCGAGACTTGAGCCTTTTACATGAGAGAATTAAACATAACAGGAATACCAGCAAATACACCGGCTCCTTTGGGAAATTATGAAAAAATCTTAGGCAAAATCATATGTTTTCTCTCTGAAGAAGGAATCTTAAAAGATCTCAGAGCCCCTCCCGCATCACTCCCCACCTTTTTTTTCCTATCACCATTTTTTTTTCTCTCTTTCACCTAACGTGCTAACTTCAATAACCGTTAACAACTTTAATCTTAACGAACATTTTACATCTTTGTAATTTCATTCAATTCTTAATATTCACAACCAGGAGGTATAATAATATATAATTTTAATTAACGCCTTTGATGACAGGCCTTACTCCTTCACTATACAACAACCAACCAATTGTATTGACAGAAACTAATAACACTAATAAGAAAAAATAAAATAAAAAGCACAGTAAGCAAAGCAAAACATGTCTTAATTCAAATTGTTTTCCCACATTCATCCGCCAATTGATCAAAGTATATTTTTTTAATATAATCTAAGACAGCTTTTTTAAATGTTGTCATCAGGGTCTGATCTGTTTCTGGCCTAGTTCCTCGTTTTGTATCGTCTTGTTCGAATATTGTCTAGTTTTCTACAGTCCAATATTACCTGTTGAACATTGTATATCTGTCCATCTTGTGGACACTTGTCTTCCTGTAGTTAAAGCCTGGTAGATATTGTTTAGTTTGTCCGTGTTCAGGAAGGATTTATGTCAGTTTGTAGTCGGTATCGTGTGAGCGCTTATAATTGTGTGGTGTGATTAGAGGAATAAATCTATGAAGGTTTGGCGATTTTAATGAACCGATTTGGTTCCATTTGGCTATTGTATCATTTCTGAGGTATGGCTTTACACATGAAACTGGAGCCTTACAATATGATAGTGGAAGGTCACTGTGAGCAGCTAACTTCGCAACGCAATCCGTTTCTGCATTACCTTCTATTCCCGAATTACTCATAATCCATATTATCCATATACGTTAATGTTTTTGTCGTGATAGTGAAGTTTAACCAAATTGTTTATAATGTTGTCTGTAAGTTCGTCATGGATTTTTGCATTTTGAATTGAATGAACAACGTTCATGTTGTCAGTGTAAATAGTTACGTCTGCATTAGTGTCTGTCTTATTCTCAAAGAGATAATCAGTTGCTTTAAGAACAGCTAATTTCTCCGCTTATACATATATATGCATAAGTAGCTTAATACATGTGCAAGTGGACGGTGCTGAGATTGTCAGTGTGTCCCTGGCCTGATCGAAGCTCAATTTTTTAAAATGCTAGCTTTGAAGAGGATCCCATGGTTAACTAATAAAAAGGAAATACCGGGATCGAAACGTCAATAAACAGAAGAAATGAACATTCTATAGTTTATTGAATAATAATTAAGTGACCTTATTTAAAATTAAATAGTTAAGGTTAAATTTAATACTCAAAGGTCGATTAAGGAAAAGTTGTAAATATATATATATATATATATATATATATATATATATATATATATATATATATATATATATATATATATATATATATATATATAATGTAGTATATCAATCTTTTTGTAATTAATCATATGTTTTTATGAGGGTTAAGAACACTAATGCACTGTGATGTAATTTATTTAGGAATAATACAAAGAAAATTGTTTGTGTTTGATTTACAGAATTCATTGATACACTACATTGGCGACGTGAATGGGCAACTGCTTAGATATTACTACGGGAATATCTCAAGCTTTGTTTGGAAGATCATTACGAACACGACTCGATCTATTGAAACCTCCTGCAACCAAGATTAAAGTGAAACAGCAGCAAGAGAAACAAATAAAAACATATGGTGGAAGGTCCAAAACAAAAAACTGGTCTGCAGAGGGAAGGAAGATAAGTGGGTGCAAGCTACAGTGCAAAAACACCTTGGTCCGGTTAAAATGAAAGTGTTTGTGCCATCAAAGAATACAACTTGTATTCGTCATTTGGACCAAGTAAGGTTGGCCCCAAAGGAAGGATCATCGTTTAGCGACGAGGAGCCTCCAGGAAATGTAGCGGAGCCGCTGAAAAATAAATCAGACAGCGATCCTCAAATATCCACTGATTTGCCTATGCTGTTGGAGAAGTGTCCTATTACGACGGCTGCTCCGTGTGAAGAAACTGAAATGGGCCTACGAAGAACTATAAAGCCTGTAAAAAAGACTTATAGAAGAAATTTAAGTTTGTTGTTTACTTGAGGGTGGAAAGAATGTAGTATATTAACCTTTTGTTAAGGGGTTGAATACTAAATCGATGTTATATCGATTTAGTATTCAATCTTTTTTTAATTAATCATATGTTTTTATGAGGGTTAAGAACACTAATGCAATGTGATGTAATGTATTTAGGAACAATAAAGAGAAAACTGTTTGTGTTTGATTTACAGAATTCATTGATAGACTACATATATATATCACAACAGAATAATTGATATTCTGAATATTAAAACATCTTTAATTATTATAAATACAATATGGTTAAATTACAAGTATGATCCCAGCAGTGACTTAGACGAAGGTGGTTTGTTGAGAGCGGTGGACGCTCTCTGCGATCATCTTCCAGCGGTACAGAGCCATGTCTGTCTGTGCTTCCTTGTGGACTGAAGGCTTGTGGTCCAAGGTGGGCTCTGGAGGTGAGGGAATGCTGTCCTCATCGTCTTCGTCGAAATGCTCTTTCTTCTTATCGCACACCAGGATAATGATGGCCAGGATGACGAACTGCCCGACGATACCTAGGAGTGGCCATATCGCACGAGACCTACGCTTCCACTTTATCATCCTTTCCTCTCTATCGCTTAGATGTTTTCCGTCGGCCGAATCAGCTGTTGGTTTATTTTCTGTATAGTTCATTCTGCCACTCAAGCTGATATAGCAAGCGTATCCTTCCAAGTCGCTACTTAACGCATTGATAACGTACAGCTTGTTGACCTTAGCCACGAACCTCTTCGAAGGCCGGACCACTTCTCCATCTTTGAACCAAGCTACTTCTCCCGTCTTGTTGGAAGAAAGACATTCCAAGACGTAGGTAGCGACACCGTCCATCACGGTCATGTTACCCCGAACTTGACCCATGTTTTCTTCAGTTACTGATACGATGGCCATCAAAATCGAAAACAAGCAGAGAAGAAACATTTTTTCATTTTGAGAATAATGCCATGTGTTTGATTTTGAATGTTTGAAAGAGTTTCTATGGTAATTTATTTACATCGCATGAAATAGGAAATAACCTTCGATATAATTTGCAATAAATTGCAAATGCAGTTTGTGTTTTTAAGGTGCGTTCAAATCCTTGCCGGAAATAAAGACAATCTTACACATGGAATAAGGTACTAGTAGATGGCGGTCGATTTCAAGATCACACAGAGCACGCTTCTTCTTGATTATGAAAATATCCGAATATGTCTGAAAGAAGGCGGTGGCTACCGATGACAAACTTTTGATTGTAAATTGTCTGCCATTTCAAGAAGGAAATTTTCTCTTAATTGTAAGTCGACTATAATTGTTATAATAATGAAATAAATATAATCTGCAGAGTTTGCGGAAATTCGATAATGTATTATTAGCTACAAATAACAATAATAGAAATACTTTGAATTTTCGCGAAATAAAATTTTATTAAATTTATCGTGATAAGTATTTTCAACGAATCGATCACTGAGGAGGGAAATGCCTATGTAAATATAATAGTCTTACTCCAATCCCATTATGTTTCTATACGTATTTTCTTCTCATTTATTAGTTGAGGTAGAAGTTTCAATTTAATTCACTGAGTTGTACCTCTTCCACGACCTCCCGTAAAAATGATAAAAAAACAAAACAATAAACATGAGCTGAAGTAGAATATGCTAACATTATGGACCAGTATTCTTCCTGAAGATAAATGCTCTTATTTCTTTTGTTAAATATATTACTACATTACTTTATATGGTTATGTGTTTTATAATATTTTATATCATGTATTTATATTTTACATGTTTAATAGCACAGATGACGTTAGGAAGTCAGTCAAAAGCGATTTCCACTTTATAAATATTTAAATTATTCCACATTGTTAAAAATATTCATAAGTAAATATTTATTATTGGTGTAAAAAAGTCTCAAATTCTAAAATCTCTTTGTAAAGTTTGTGTTGAAATAAAAGTGAGTTTGTTTCAATATAGAGTACTCAACTTCATTTTATTTGATCCTAAGAATCAAATATAAAGGTTAGTTATAGATTAACTCTAACCCGAATAGATGACGTACGCATGTGTAATATATCGCCACTGCTAAATCCGTTTAAACAAAAATATGTTAGAGATGAATAAATAAAATGATTTAAATTTAATTCTGATTACGTACTTTTGCATTTTGTATTATAGGCCAACGAGACATATCAATGTGTTTCGAGCAGAAGATATTTTTCTTGTTAGAAGGCGAAAGGAGGCCCAATTTGAAATGTTTACATGACCAAAATAAGTAAATTTTAAAATGAAGAGAAGAATAGTTGGGGTGCTCAGTCAAAAAGGAAGGCAAAAATAAATTATAATATTTATTTTTTACAAATGCCGACGTTTCGACCTGAAGTTCAGGCCTTCATCAGGCCTTTCTCCTTAAGTGTCAAGGGGAGAATCTAAAACTAAATATTCTCCCCTTGACACTTAAGGAGAAAGGCCTGATGAAGGCCTGAACTTCAGGTCGAAACGTCGGCATTTGTAAAAAATAAATATTATAATTTATTTTTGCCTTCCTTTTTGACTGAGCACCCCAACTATTCTTCTCTTCATTATCCACGACAGTCAACCAATTACCAATTATTGTAAATTTTAAAAGGTGGATTTTCTATGGAAGTACAAAATAATACTTGAAAATGAACATAGCGCTGGCCGAAATGTTTTATTATAAAATTATAAAATAAATAAAAATTATGGTGATAAATTATTTTTATGAACAAAATTTAAATATTTCTAATTATACACGACATACACTCAGAGGTGCTCATCCCCTTAAGGTTTACTGCACACGACCTTCCTCTCTGGTAAAGGTTACATTTGATAACTGTAGATTAACAAATAAAGAAAATAAGAGATGACGAATAAACAAATTGAAAAATTCAATTCGTCAATCCTCATTTTCTTTATCCGTAAACTACAGTTATCAAATGTAACCTTTACCAGTTCGTTATCCACTCAGTTCTTATCTTTCATCACAATCTGTTTCTTTTAACTTACACACTATATTCACCTTTGTTTTCTATATTTATTCACACTTATTTTCTATTTTTGTTTGTATCTTCTATATATGTAATACTTGATATTTTAACTACATTGTCACCCATTATATCTCTGATGTCATCTTATTATTTCTTTATCAGACAACTGATTCTTATTTGATATCTACTTATAATTCATTTATTTTATTTTCACTGTGTGTTTTTTTATATTTTGTATCTTTCGTAGTCCTGATGACCTACAAACGTCGGCGTAACGATTAAAATATTATTTTAAAAATTTATTATTTATTTGACCCCTCCCATCCCGTCCACCCCCTTCTCATATTATATCACGGTCAACCATCTCTACATCACTAAAAAAATATAGCTTTCTAAAAATTTCATAACCCCGTAAAATTTTCTACCTTCAATAATTTAAAGCTATGTAAAAATATTCCCCCTCTTTGAAAAATTCTATGGCGCACCTTGCGTCATGCAACCGCCTTAGGTATACCATTGGTCAGGGTTACTTCAATTTCTTTCCTATTCCCTTTCCAGTTAGAGAATTTAATTAAAAACTCTGTAAAAATGTGCCCCTCAAAAATTTTGATGTTACAACTTGCGCCATACAACTGCTGGGAATCCTTGGATGCTATATAATTGAATACATTCTCATGCTTGTTATTGGATTTTTGTGATAGAATAAGAAGAAAAAGTTAGCCCCTCTATAACGGAACATAATTTATCCAAAAATCTGAGACAAATATTTATAATATTATATAATTATAAATTATACAATAGACAAGTATATAATAGATAATTTATTATATTTAAATACAAAAATATTGGTATATTATATTTTAATAATAGCAATGATAACCGTGGATATGGTATTTTTTATTTACTGGTTGAGGATGAAGTGGACGCAGTTAGGAGGTGTAATAACCGCTAGGTAGCGCCAATAGCAATACAATTTCACACTACTGCCCTCCAACGAAGTTTTTGCTTTTAGTACTCCAGCCCTCTGCTTCAGTCGTTCCAGGGAGGTAGTTTTGCTTCTTGAGCTTTAACAGCCATGGCTAAACAAGCCATTTTTCTCTCTCAGACCTTTCAATTTTCTATTAGGAACAGAACTAAACTTAAGCATGTATCCTTAAAAAAAAAAAAGTATATCTAATTATATATTTAACAAAAAATAATAAGAAAGGTTCAAAACCAAGATAAAAAAAAATCTTATCTTGATAATCATTTACTACCTCATTGTCAGGACTTTTTTTATGATAATCATAGTTCCGCTTACTCATATTTTTATTTTCATCTACTGACGTCCCGTTAGGTGTTTTTCTTAGAAAGAAAATAAGAACAATTATATTTACAATGTAAAAATTGTATAAATATTTTAATAACAAAAAGTAACACTGTTCCTACACGCATGCCGATGATACATGTGTCCTATCCATTAATAAAGATCCATCCATTGCATCCCAAACTCTTCAATCACACATCACAAACCTTGAAGCATTGTGTCGAAACTGGAGGATTAAAATAAATTCTAATAAATCCCATCAAATTCCATCGTAAACCTATGACCTCCTGTCCTACAGTATCCTTTAATAATACCTCATTTATCCCTGTTGAACAAATCCGATACCTTGGACTCCTTTTGGACAAACGTCTAACTTGGAATCCTCATACCAGACTGAAACGAAAAGAAACCGCTCGACGTTTCCGACTACTCCAATACTTACTAGACAAACGCTCTAATCTTCCAGTTAATTGTAAAAGACTCATATACATGGCTATAAAAAGACCTATTTGGACTTACGGAGTTGAGCTTTGGGGTTCCACTAAGCCATCGAATTCCTCTCGTATTCAATCCTTACAATCCAAAATCCTTCGGGAAATCTTCAATACTCCTTACTTTGTCACCAATAAAATAATCCATAACGGCCTTAATGTTCCTTATGTTTCTGATTTGGCACAATCCAGATACCAATCCTTCTATAATAAACTTCAGAACCATCCGAATCCTCTCGTTTCTAACCTTGCTTCCTCTTCTATCCCTGATAACCCTCCGAGGCGTCTGAAAAGAAGATGACCTCGAGATCTCGTATTGTAAATATATTTTTTTTTTAGTGTGCTACCGGAGAAGGCAGTGGATCAGCTGATGAGAAGGTTGTCTCCTCAACTCCTCTCTCAGTTTTTACCAATTTTATAGCGGAATCTCTCTGATTATTCACGTGATACAGTTAAGTGTATATCAGAGCAGTTGATATTTACTGTTGGCATCTTTTTTTTTTGTTATTTTAAGAAAAAAAAAAAAAAATTTTTTTTTTTTTTATTTTTATTTATTTATTTTTTTTTCTCTTATGATATGCGGTATGATCAGCAAGTGATGGCCAGTAAGGTGCCTAAGAGGTCTCGGTCAGACGGAGTTAGCTCACCAGCCAAACAAAGGACTCGTCGCTGCCTACGAGAAATACCTCCAGTGACCAAAATGAACACTTCAGAACCAAAACCTCAGCCCCAACCAGGTACGTCTGCACAAGAAACGATTGAAGAATCACCTTTCTTTACTCCAAACCCCTACCAAGTGCTTCAAAATGACAGAGAAGTAATGGAGTCTGCAGCAATACCCAGAGAACCAAAGCCTCCTCCGATATTTGTGAAAAATATAAAAAATTTCCAGATGTTCTGCACCCAACTAAATAAAATCTGCGCTGGCAGTTATTCATGCCTTAACAGGACCAATGACACCAAAATAACACCTGATTCTGCAGAAGCCTACCGAAAAATAGTGAAGTACTTATCAGAAACAAATGCGAATTTTCACACTTACCAGCTGAGGCAGGAAAGAGCTTTACGAGTAGTGATAAGAAATTTACATTCCTCAACCCCCACTGAAGTTATT